CAACTTGTCACAGTAGTCTTGGAAGCTAGAGGCTTGGAGTATACATCCCAATGGCTCCATAACTTTCCTGTACAGCTGCTTGGAGAATAGGCATCCCCAAAATAAGTGGTTGTTATCCTCTTCCTCATTGTTACATAGTAGGCACTTGGTATCAATAGTGAGGAACTTGCTCAACCTCTGTCTTGTCTGTAGTCTCTTCTTCATAATCAGCCACATGTTGAATTGATGCTTGGGGATTGTTAGTCTATTCCACACCAAGTTAGCCCATTCTATTTTAGGGGTTTGGCCCATGAGCCAGAGATACCCTTCATCGGGTGTATAATCACCATTAACAAGCATCCCCTCAAATTCTGACCTCACTTTTATCATCCTCCTCCAATAATAGCAAGTATCCTGTTTTGGTGTGTATAATTCAATTTTAAAATATAAAGTTTAAAATTAAAAATTAATAATCTAAATTTAAACTAATATTTAAAGTCTAAAATTTAAAATTTGAGATATATATTTTAAATTTAGATTATGAATTCAAAAAATATAAAACTAAAATTTTAAAAAGTTTAAACCTAATATTAAAAAAATAAAGATTTAAAATTAAAAATTGAAAATATCAAATCTAAAATTTAAAATCAAAAATATAAACTTAAAAATTAAAATTAAAAAATTAAAAAAAAAAATTGAAATTTGAAATTTTAAAATCTAGAATTTAAAATTGAATCTATAAATTTTAATAATACAGATTAAAAGTTAAAGTTTAAAATTTAAAATTTAAAACCTAACACTTAAAATTTAAAATTTAAGATAAAAGTTTTGAAATTTAAGATTTAAAATTAAAAATATAGAAATAGTAAATAAGAATTTATACTTTAAAATAAAATTTTAAAATATAAAATCTAATAAACAACGGATCGAATACAAAATTGTTTTTATTTAAAAAATAATAATAATGCTAAGCTAATCAATTAAGAACAAAAAAATTAATCGAATTAGGTGGACGGAGGGGGTGAGTGTGGACACGAGAAGGGTAGAAGGTGAGGAGTTGGGGTGGGGTGGGTCGTAGGTGTATGTGGGGTCGAGGCATGGTGGTCGGGTTGGGGGCGGGGGAGGAAGGAGGTGTGGTAGGTGGGAGGGAAAGGAGTATGGAGTAGACGGGGGTGGTAGGGGGGATGGGCGTGAGTGGGGAACGAGCAATGAGAAAATGAAAATTTTCATCTGAATTTTAACAAAAATTATTTTCCCCTCATTGAGAAAAATTATTTTTTATCTACTAATGTCACAAAATACAGGAAAATATAATAAATTCTTTTTGAAAAATTTTTTCTTCTAAGAGAACAAATCATAGTTTTAAGAATCGAACCGATTCAAGTACTGGTCACTGGTCGACCCAGTGGTTAATGTGGTTAAACCAGTGATTTAAATACCCACACACAGATATATATATATATATGTGTGTGTGTGTGTGTATGTATGTATGTATGTATATATATATATGTATGTGTGTGTGTGTGTGTATATATATATATATAGATTTTGGTTCTGGTGAGAATGCGATCTTAGGAGAGAAATGAGAATGAATCTGGTGCTTTAGATTGTGCGATCTAAGGGTCAGGATTGCATCAAAATTGGATGCAACAAAATTGTTTGAAAATGCATCACATCGAAATGCATCATAATCCTTTGAAAATGCACTATCTCAAAATCTGAGCGCAAGATGCAATCTCAGCCGCACGATGCATCAGATCCAATGGCTAGATTTCATTCTCATTTCTCTCCACAAGGTGCATTCTCACAGGAACCGGCTCCTATATATAGATAGATAGATAGATATATATATATATATATATATATATATATATATATATATATATATATATATATATATATATATATATATATATATATATATATATATATATATATATATATATATATATATATATATATATATATATATATATATATATATATATATATATATATATATATATATATATATAAACACGAGAGAGGGTTTGGTACCCTCTAAAATAATGCTCTTTTTCCGTCAAAATTCTATGTACATTGTGCTTTGCAAGTTGTTCCTCGTTTCTTTTTTCCGATTGTACCCCAACGACGTCTAAACTCTTTCATTTAGCTCCCTGATTCGGCCCTCGTTTTGGTCCTTGAGTGATACTTTTCCAAAAAAATATAGGTCCGTTACTTTTTCCTGAAATCAATTCTACCTTTTTTCGCAATTGTTGATGGATACACCGGATTAGATATCTCTTGTATGTGTATCAATCTAACCACGTGTTGTTTGTTCGTAGTCTACGGATTAGCTTTGCTGGGAAGGTTTTTCACAGAGGTTTGCGATTTTCATGGAGTTTTGGGTTTTCATGGTTTTAAGTTTGCTAATTTTCCTAAATTTTGTTGTATTATATGTTTGACAGATTTCTTAAACAAAGTTATACTGGTGGTATGCTTTGAAAATGTTAGCTCCGTTCCTTGTTTCCTAAATTTCAAACCTTTTCTATGTAACTGATGACTGGTTTACAGAATATGATATCTGTTGTGTCAATATAAATCTATGTGCAGGTCTATTGTTCTTAATCTGGCTATTCTGAGGCTAGGCTTTGCTGTGGAAGATTTGTCCATGAGTGGATTTATGTGTTTTAAGGTTAGTTTCTTTTTCTTAATTATGCAGTAGTATTGTTTTAACAAAAATCTTTTAGAAAGAAATAAAAATGGTGTGCTCCAATTACTTTTGATATACTCCTCCACATAGTTGCTATAGCATTCCCCAATGTTTATATTGAAGTGTAGATAAAACTATTATTACCATGAAGACCCATTTGGCCTGGCAAGTCTTTGGATTTTTTGTGTGACTGTGCCATTGCCCTCTATTTGAGTTTTAGGGCCTTTTTGGGAACATCGTTAGATCTTAGCATTAGAATTTTGAAAAGGTTATCTATGGGCATCGTTCAGCATTAACGCTTTTAAATTAATCAACACCGTTAAAATTTTATCCAAAAGTTAACACTGAAAGAAAATGTTGTTCTCAAACGGGCCCTTAGTTTCTCAAACTGTAGTCTCGTGGTCTACCTATTAATGTCCTGCAATGATATGTGTTTTGTCCTTAACATACAAATCCCTTGGTGTGAGATTATGAGATTGTAGTGTTTTTTAGATGGCAACTTTGATTTCTGAAAAAATAGTGTATGGCTAATAGGATTGAATAGTTCAATTTTCAGTCCACTTTGCCCTTCTGCTGTCTAAACTCGGTTTCCCATTTATTTGTTGGACGCCACACTTTTACCACCACACAAATTGTAGATCTGCATGAAGTCAAGATCGTGACAGGGATGACCATCACCCTAGAACACCATCGGCAATGTGAAGGTCACCAATTAAAACATCCAAAAGTGCACCCTCAACTTAGTTCTACTCTGTGACATAAAAAAGAAACCAAGAAGACCTACACCAAGCGAAAAAAGGTCAATCTCGCTGTGTTTCTTTGCCACAGGGTCGATGAATCTGGAAGGAATGCCCCAACGCCAGGTGGCATGCTAGAACCTCATGGCCAACCACTTCGATTGGTGATACTGTGTCAAGTGTGTCTTAGCTATGTCTACGACACAGATTATTAATTCAAGCAGTTATCTCTTCATAAAAACTTTAATTTTGTTAGGATTACCACTATTCGATTCTTCAATAAAACATTTTTCTATATTAGTTCAGAATTGATATGTTATTTACTATTTTTCTACATTATTTCCTTATATTTTCGTATAAGCAAGAAAATGTGGGAGAACTTATTGCTATTGGTATCTAAACAGGTCATTTGCTTCAAGGAAACTTGTAAACTTTACTTTATACCTTCATATGGTTCAGCGACGTGGCTTTTTATATGCTCTGTTGTGGACAGTGCTGGTAAATTTCTTGTGTTCATTGTGATATGGGCATTTCATATTTTTTTATTTGTTGACTTGGTTGTCATTCAGCAAAGATAGTATATAATAGGGTTCTCCCTAGCACAAATTATGCTGCCAAGGATATCAATTTTGGAAATGGGACTCGAATGGCTATGTTACAAGGTGTTAATGAGCTTGCAGAAGCTGTGAAGGTTAATTTTACTCTTAATCCCCATCGTTCCATTTTTTTCCTTTCATTTTTTAAAAATAGCTTTCTCACTTTTTAGCTATTTGAAACCCTGTGTACGGATGCACCATATCCAGATAGAGTGAGAAATATGGAGTGTCATATATTTTCTGTTCTTAACCGATGTATGTAATTTCGAAATCCATTTAAGTGGTGTTATACTGACTTCATTGCAAATAATAGTTTTTTGTAGGTAACACTAATTGGAAATGTTTCTTTCTTTACACAATCTCCAGGGCCGTCATGTGATCATTGAGAGAAGTGAGGAAAACCTAAGGTGACAAACAATGCTGTCATTGTAGCCAAAAGTATTGTATTTAATAATAAGATAAAGAATGTTGGTGCAGAACTTGTGAAGCAGGTTCCCATTGCCACTAATTCTGCTGCTGAAGATGGTGGTGACCAACTCTACATAATACTCTCTTGAATGTGATGGGACTTGCACAGTGGGATTATTAAGATTGTAAAGTGGTGGCTCCTTCTCTTATGATTAACACTAAAACAAATAGGGATACAACATTGTTGAAGGGTAACACACAAAAATGAATTGTCCCACTTGCAAGCTCATTTGGAGTGGACAAAAACCCTACAAAGAGGCAATAAACACATCAAAAATAGGAAAGGAACCATACACACTACAAAAAAACTTGACAAAGTATAATATTTATGAGTCGAGCAAACAAATGCTCATTCTCACGTTTGAACATATATTATAATGTTTGAAACACCATTGAGTATGATATCTACACGTTGAATCTGTACTACTCTTAATATGCTTTTTTAAACAGCATACTATTCAAAAAACAATCAAATTAAAACAATAATACACCACAAATTCACAATAAAAACACCACAAAATCCACCCAAAAAATAATAGTATCACACCCAACCACAAATCTAATATCGGGCATCGAATTCCGCGCAACGCGCGTGCCATTGCTAGTATGTATATATATATATATATATATATATATATATATATATATATATATATATATATATATATATATATATATATAGGCCGGTTCCTGTAAAAATGCACCTTGTGGAGGGAAATGAGAATGAAATCTAGCCATTGGATTTGATGCATCGTGCGGCTCAGATTGCATCCTGCGCTTATATTTTGAGATAGTGCATTTTCAAAGGATTATGATGCATTTCGACGTGATGCATTTTCAAACCATTTTGTTGCACTTAATTTTGATGCAATCCTGACCCTTAGATCGCACAATCTAAAACACCAAATTCATTCTCATTTCTCTCCTAAGATCGCATTCTCACCAGAACCAAATATATATATATATATATATATATATATATATATATATATATATATATATATATATACATATATATATATATATATATATATAAAATTTTGTATAAAATAAAAACAACTCCTTTCATATGTACATAAAATTTAATGATATTTAATTGAGATTACAATCACTTTAATTTATTTTGTTAGTCAATTTATATTTAAAATAAAATTTACATATCGAGAAGTACATTAAAAGTTTTATAAAATAATGATATTTTTATTTTTCTTTATATATTTTGTCTAATATCCAAAAATAGTAAAATGAACTTTTTTTTCACGACACATATTCCGTATTAGAATTATTTCTATTTTTAAATGTCAAGAATCCTAATTTAAGAAATAAAAAAAACTTTTAATACATATTTACTCTTTTTATATGGAATATATATACAACATGAAATCAATATGATACAAAAAACGTTCTTGCTCGATTGGTTGAAAACTTGGGGTAACAACCAAGAGATTAAAGGTTCAAACTTTAATGATTTGATCGGGTTAACCGGCTGATTGTTACAGGTTCACATCGGTTCAATCGAGTTTTCAAAACTATGGAACAAATACAGCGAGGGACCGGGGTAGTTTCCCACAGTAGGAAAAACTTTGGGAATAAATTTCTGATTGTAGGATTGAATTCCTGAGAGGGAAGTGTTGGAGTTCCCACATCGAAAAATAAAGATGAGTATCATTTGCATATATTGAAGGGTGAAGCCCTACCTATCAGGTTAAGCTTTTGGGTTAGAATTGTGGATCCCGACTTTATATGCAAGTGATTAATTTTACTCGATACTCTATCCGTTGTTCTCGGCCCGCCGGAATTTTAACATGGTATCAGAGCAGGTCCGGTCTGGGTTTGATTGTTCCTGGTTGTTTGTATGTGGGTTTAGCAAAAATGAGTTACCCGTCTGTGGTTTGGGCTGAGTTGGCTAAAAAAAGATTGAGATGCCACCGCCAGTTGTGTGGGCTAGCTAGACCCGTTTGTCCAAGTGCTAACTAGGCCAAGCTAGTTACCACTTGCGGGGGAGTGTTGGAGTTCCCACATCGAAAAATAAAGATGAGTATCATTTGCATATATTGAAGGGTGAAGCCCTACCTATCAGCTTAAGCTTTTGGGTTAGAATTGTGGATCCTGACTTTATATGCAAGTGGTTAATTTTACTCGATACTCTATCCGTTGTTCTCGGCCCGCCGGAGTTTTACATGGTATCGGAGCCAAAACCCTAGGCACGTACCACTGATTCTCCCGATCGTATCCATCACGCCGAGCCCCTCTCTCGACGGAAATCTCTGGCCGTCGGCGACCAATCGGCGGTGATCACAGCGACGAACACGGCGACCGAAGTGTCTCGGTTAGGTCCTTCTCTGTTCGTGCGATTTGTGTTGTGAAGATCGGCAAATATGTCAACTCCAACAGCCTCAAAGAAAACTCGTTTGATTCACGATCCGTCCTCCGAGTATTATCTTCATCCTTCTGAAGGACCGGGTAATGCTCTTACTAAACATGTTTTGAAAGGTGAAAATTTTGATCGTGGGAAAAGACCATTGTTAATGCCTTGAAAGGTCGTAGCAAGGCAGGGTTTTTGTCGTCTGTTGGAATGCCTAAACCAACGGAGCCTATGGAACTTGAGGCGTGGGAGGCAAATAACTCCACAATTTGCAGTTGGATTTCAAATAGTGTTGATGAAACAATCCAACCGAGTATTGCTTCTCATACCGTTGTTCACGAGTTGTGGACTGATTTAAAGGCTCGTTATAGCACTGTGAATGAGCCTCACATTTACCAACTTGAAAGTGAATTGCAGAATCTTCGTCAAAAGGGACAGACGGTGGTTGCTCACTATAATCAATTTGTCACTCTTTGGAATAAATTGTATGGCATGGAAGATCCCACTTGCGGGTGCAAGTGTGAGGCGGCGGCACTGTTAAAGGAAAGAGCCGAACGATCAAAAACTCGTAAGTTTTTGTTGGGCCTTGATGATGATCAGTTCGGTAGTATTCGAGGTCAAATCCTTGGCACACAACCGTTGCTAGATTTAAACAAGGCATTTTATTTAATAACCCAAGAGGAGAGACATAAAAATGTGGTGCGTGCAAGGGACGATCACACTGACGCTATGGCGTTTGCTGCGCCTCGTGCAAGCTCTGATACCATGATAGAATTCAGGATGGGGTATGGACATCTGGATTAGGCAATAAGACACTTGGGTTGAACCGCATTAAAAGATTGAATCCAATCGATTAGTTAGTTCAACTCAAGAGCTTATATACCGGTTTATATTCTCTCTAAGTTTCGATGTGGGATACTCTTTTAACAGGAAGATTGGGATTCAATATCCCGAAAAGAGTTTTTTTTAAATAGGGCCTACAAAAAACGGGATTCAACATCCAAATTTTTCTAAAAAAGTTTTTCACTTTTGCAGGTGGGATTCCAACTTTAGGCATGTGAGAATTGGGTTTTTTAATGCATTAGAATAGTGGTATCCGTATGTATCCATCCTTATATAGCAAAGTATAGATTCCTTTTTTCATTTAAGTCTTCTTCCTCTACAACTCTCTATATATGATAATATAGCCAAAAAATTATATTTTAGATTACAAGATTTAAGAATCCAAAAGAGTAAAAGAAGATCTTCTTCTTTTGGAAGGTATGTAGTGTTTTACTTATCTTTTTTTTGTTTCATTAGCTATTTAATTATTAAAAAGTCCCTCCATTCCCATTTATATTACAATTTTTTTTCTTTTTTTCGATAACTTAAGTTTAATTATAAAATAAAAGATTATTGTTACCTCTTGTCTTTTAGAACTTTTGACGTAGTTTTTTAATTAGAAATTTTTATTTCTTATTAATATACCAATTTATAAATTAAATGATTTCAAAAAGTGAAAATAAGAGAGAATATGATAAAGTAGAAAAAAAGTGACAGAAGTTGTATTTAACAAATAACTTATTTTATATGTATTAGTGTGATGGATGAAGTGCAAAGAGATTCGCACGACATGTGGAGCCCATCATGCCAAAGAGATTCGCACGCTAGTTTGGGAAATTGCAAGCTATACCTGAACTCCCATTTCCGTATAAGGCGGATCATATGGGAGAAATACGGAATGTCAGTGAAGAGGCATATCTCTACTTGAATGATATTTCACGTGAAGCGTGGGCTCTATCTTATGATGGTGATTTTAGATGTGAGATTTTGACAACCAATAGTTCAGAGAGTTTTAATAATATGCTTAAGGGTTGTCGGATATTACCGGTCACAAGTAGAGTCCTTTCTAAATAACGTCAAGCCCGAAGCTTTGCAAGTCACTTCAACAGGAGATGGTTCTACCCAAGCAGATGATGTTTATGGAATTCCACCCCATGAAAGCAATGGATCCAACAGTTTTAATTGGTCAGGCTGCTGAGCATCTTTTATCATCCAGTTTTGGGACTACTACTTAACATTGCTAGCTACATTGGAGGAGCAACCTATGATAGTTTAAATGTGAACTCCATGGAAAGCATAAGTGGTTTTAATCTTTTTTGGACCTTGTAATGTAGTATTTGATACTTTAGACAATTTGTCATTTCATGGCATTTTATTTTACTTGAGCTTTGAGCATTACAAAGCATGCCCTTGTATTTTTTGTTCTTACTGTAATAAAATTGTTATTTTAAAAATGTAACATGATGAAGAATTGTAGCAAATTTAATTTGTCACAATTATAAAGTATCACTAGTATTATGTTTGCCATAATTAATTAATGATTGTAGCAATTAAAATATGCCACTAAACATGAGCTATTGTCACACAGTCTTGTGGCAACTTAAATTTGCTACTAAACATTAGGTTTTGTTGCAAAATATAATTTGTGGTAACTAAAATTTGTCACTAAATATGAGATTTTGTGGCAAAATTTTATTAGTGGCAAACCATAATTTGCTACAAAAACTATGACTTTTGTGGCAAATTTAAATTTGCCACAAATACCTTTTGTAACGGGGTATCTGTGGCAACCTTGTGGCAAAGTTCAAAATTGCTACAAATAGGTATTGTGGCTAATTTTTTATGTTTTGTGGCAAAATTTGGTGCCACAAAATGTCAAGTTTCTTGTAGTGCGAAGCCGTGAGTGAACAAAACATAAGTGGGCTGTTGTAGACTATGGCAACAACCAATATGTTACTAGTCATACTTCTCGAACAGATCCATCATCTATCTATAGCTACATGGTGGATCTCGAGAATAGAATTTGCACTTGTGGCCGAGGGTCTTCCGATGCAGTCCCATGTGTTCATGTTCATGCTGTTTTCCACTCTAAGCGTCAAGTTGCTGACAGTCTCATCCCACCGGTATATTCCGTTCAAAATTATCAACAGTGTTATAGTGGAGTGATTCATCCAGTTGTTTTTCAACCCAATTTAGATATTGGTGACTTTCGTGTCAATCCACCAATAAGGCCGGAGGGAGAGATTCCGATCCACGTTCAGGAAGACATAAGCGTAACCGGTACATTGGTGAGATGGATCGAAGAGCTACCAGAGGAGGATGAATATATACATCTACCACACTTAATGTAACTTTATTGGTCTTTTTGTTGGATGTATCTTGTTCAATAAAAATTTCTTTCATTATGTTTTTGTTTATGAAAAACTTCAATTTTTGTTCAATTTTTTAGATTTTAAATGTTTATATTAGTAATTATACACCTCCCATTCAAAATTAGTAATTATTTGTATTATTTAAAATAATCAGGATTCTAAAACACTAAAAAGGCAAACAAAAAAAATATATGTACTTCACTTACGGTTTTTTAATTGCCCATGCAAATTCCATAATTATTTACTTTTAAAAATCAGGATTTGTAAACCCGAAAACTAAAAAAAAAATTGAGAAGTGAAAATCGGGATTTGATATCCCGTTCTTCCCAATTGGGAATTTGAAGCTAAAACCCTTCCCTGTGGCCTAATTTCTCCCAGGGACCGGGTAGGTAGACCTGGCAAAAAATGACCCGACCTGTTTTTGACCCGAAACCCGATCCGAAAACATTGGGTTTTGAACAAAGGTTTTTATGACCGAACCCGAAGTTGACCGAACCCGAAATGACCTGCTAAAAATGGGTCAAACCCGACCGAACCCGAACCCGACCTGACCGACCTGCTAAAGTAAGAATTTTTCAAAATCATACACTTTAGTACTCGTTTTTAGTGTATAAATTTATATTTTCAGACAAGATTTTAATGATATTGCATAATTATCTTACTTTTTTCTAAAACTTAAGCATTTTTAAATTCCTTATATTGATTTATATATCTAAAAATTACTTCATAATTTATAATAAAATAATCTAATAAATTTAATACATTTTTTTGATATTTTAAACTTATTAAATAGAAAATGTAAGTGTTAATGTGAATTTAAAAATTTTAAAAACCAAAGTCATAATCTGTTGGGTCAACCCGAACCCGATGATACTGGGTCATGAACATAGAGTTCTCAACCCGAACCCGAATTGATCCGAACCGGAAATAACCCGAACTCGAAGTGACCGAACCCGAACCCGACCTGACCGACCGATTTGCCAGCTCTACGGGTGGGTAATAATGACTTAATGAGTAAGAAAGTCGTGTAGCCGCGGCTAGATTTATTCCCTAGTCAAACCAAATATCTTTTGGTTAGTAATAAGATAAGGGTTTGAAAGATAAGATCGTTCCTCGTCAATCCAAATCCCTTTCTTTGATGATGCACTGCAATGTCCTTTCTCCATTTTTTAATTCCTTCCACAGCTGCTGATATCACTATATAACTCCATAACCGAAGCTTCATGTCCGGACAACCATGGCCAGCCTCTTCCGGAAAGTCTGGGAATCTGTTTCTGGCAGTTCGCTTCCGAGTCCCGGGTCCAAAGGTTACCGGAGCGATGGATTTAGACAGCAGATGTGTGTGATGCCGGCGTCATCGTCGGCGGGGGAGTTCGATCGGATTCCGACCGATATATTCATTGTGATCTTAAAGCTCCTCGGCCCCAAGGAGGCTGCGAAGCTCGCCGCCGTCTGTAAGCTGTGGAGATTCGTCGTTTCAGATAACCGGCTCTGGGTTCACTTCCTCCAGAACCAGCAGGAGCCTTGGGATTCTATATTCTTCGCTGAAACTCACTTGCGATCTGGTCATCCTCTTCGGTACTAGCCCTCTCTCTCTCTCTCTCTCTCTTTTTAACCTTTTGAAGCTCTTTACTGTCTCGTAGATATCAGTTCTTTTCTGTTTTTAGGGGAAAAAACATAAATCAAAGAAATGAAAAGTGTGAAGTTTACTACAGTACTAAATTATCCACTTAAAATAAATGAATGAAACCCTTAATGAATAACTAGAATAAGTATGGGATAAATCGGAGAGAACTCATTTGGGGTGAGTTAAGTGCTTAATTTGTTTGGTGGCTTCTTAGGAGTCTTAATTAATCTTATCTAGGTGCCCTAGAAGATTTTCATGGGTTTCTAGTCAGTTTCATTTTTCTCCCCATCTAAATGGTGCATTATGTTTTATGTTGGAAATATATGTTGGTATTCAAAATTCTCTGATGGGGACGTAAAGTATCTGGAACATGTATGGAGCATCTGTTTTTATATTTATAAAAGAAATCCGACCAAGCTTTCCAAGGATGAACCAACTTTCCAACACATCTGTACAGAAAGTATTCCAATACTACATTGTAGTATTTAAATACTCGACGTATTTGTTGGGATGAACCTACACAACTTTACGGGTAGTATATATTCGAATAGTAGAATGTCCCAAGTCCCAACCTCTCGTTAAAAATTGCTCGAAAGTAAGTGTTCGATTACTCGCTAGCAGTATCCGAATATTGGGTATTCCGGCCTTCCGTTAAATTCACTGGAAGGTAAGAATTCAAATATTTATTTTAGTATTCGAATACTTCTGTACCTTTCTCGGAAACCATTCGAAAGCTGATGAATTTTCCATAAGGTAGCACTTACCAAAATAAAAATTTTCCTAGGTAAGCTGGCAGCTTGACCCAGTCAAGGCCCCCTTGGACCCCTCTAGGGTTTGTCGCCCCCCGACACCCGCTCCTTGGTTTTTGAAGTCATAACATTATTGAACAAATGTATATTCCACACCTCCTAATTCGTATCAATTTTTTTATGACTTCATGTCTGGTCTTTATGTAAATCCAAATGTACAAAATAGCACGATGACACTAAGATCACCAATGTTTTTTTTAATTACTTCATTTTTTTCTCCACATTATTGCACTAATATTACTTTCTCAATTTCAAGCTTAGTTGTGTTTTCTTATAACTTTCACGGGTTTACTTTCCAAATGGTGGTTGAAGTGATGAGTTAACTCTCTAGGAAAATAACATTCCCTCTTTCATGGTTTTTTTGGTACATCTTTCATGGGTTTATGTTTTACTATTTTTTAGTTCAACCTAAAATCAACCCGCCCAATTTGTTTGTAACTCTAAATTTCATAAAAAACGTAAAATATAATGAAAATCGGTTTCTTTTGCTTAAGCTGGACTGTGTTTTTATAACTAAAGTGAAGTTATAATCAAAACTTCTTTTTGGAACGGAGGTTCTTAAAAAGAAAAATGAAAACTTAATCGACTCGATTGCATCAGCTTCACAATATAGTTTATTTACAGTTATACTACATCTGTCAAACTTTCTATTGCTATTAGTTTTTAGAGGTTGATTTTCAACACTTCATTGTATCTAAAAAATATTAATGCACTTGCCCCAAACAAGAATTATGCTTCAGAAATTTTAACTCTTAAAGATCAAATATTTTAGATTTTTATTTACGTTAGGTTAACAAGATTTTAGTGATTTAACTCAATGGAACAATACTTAAAACAAAGTTTGATACACAATATTAGATTAGTGTGTTTGAATACTCATTTTGAGCAAATATAAGTTTTTAAAATAAAAGTATTACAAGGAGGGTGTGTATGTTTGTGTATATATACTGGAATATCTGTATTTTTTTAACATTTGAATCAAAACTCATATTTCTGTTTGCATTTCCAATTTTCCATTTGAAATATTCAAGTTTGAATTGTCCTATTTGAATACAGATCGAGCCAAAATTATTCATATTGTTTACAACCCTATCTACTAGCCTCAATGGTTGTGATTTTGATTTGCCAGTAGCATTTCACCTAAATTAGTATATACGGAGTAGCTTATATACCTAAGGAAGAATAAGTGGCAGGCATAGGTCTTTGAACTTATTGGTGGGTTGCCATGTGCAGGGCATTTGCTAATCCGGTTGCTGAACTTTCATTCATGCATATTTATGGCCAACGTGCCAAGGTTCCTGGAACTATGATTATTGATGGTGCGCACTAGGATATTGTTTCTACTCTGTTTTATGTAGGACAGACCATTAGGACTCTGGTTGATTTTTACTTAATTAATTATGTGCATTCAAAACAGCATTTAAAGGCTAGTACCTTGTAAAATATTCTCTCTTGTGATCTTATTAATTCATTTCTCCTTTTTATGAAAAGGTGGTTCTGGCTATTGTAAATATGGATGGAGTAAATATACTCGTCCATCGGGGAGATCAGCCACATTTTTAGTAAGCTTTCTTATATGCTTCCCATAGTAATTGGCAGCTCACTCTTTAAAAGACAATTATATAGAAGCGAGATGCTCTCTCTATTAACCATTTGCTATCAAAGTTTAATTTTTTCATTTTCTGGACTTCTCTTTTGCCTAGGAGTTTGGTAACATTGAATCTCCAATGTATTCTAGGCTGAGGCATTTCTTCACAACGATATATAGCAGGTTTGCCTTTCTTAGTTAGTTTTGTATCATAGATGTTTGCCAATATATTTAGAGAAATAAGCATCTATCTTTGGAGAAACAAGGGTATAATATTGAGAAGATTTGAGAAAAGATAAATCTTACCAAGCTCGAGACATAAACTTTTTGTTGAAAAAATTTCAAACATATATTTCCAAATAAAATAAAAATAAAAAGAACTGAATCTACAACCCATATATTGCTTCACTATGGTTGGGTTGATCATCTGCACTTTTTGGCTTATGTTTCTTTGGGAATCTCTTTTGCGAAATCAGCTCATGTTTCATTTGGCTTCTTTTGGATGGAAGAATTTTGGACATGGCAAGGGCGCAAGGCTTTGTTTTCTGGAAAGAAGTGAAAATAGATAGCTACTATTCCTTTGATAATCTATTTGACCATTTGAAACTAGAAGCAAAATGATTTAAAAATTTTGGAAATTTGTATTGGTAGAATCAACTGATGTTTTGCACACCTAAATTATGTCCATTTATTAATCCTAGGTAAAAAATAAAGGTGGCTCTTTCTTTCCATCTTATGGATTTCTTGTTGTAAATGTTTTCCCAGTAGTATCTAGGTTTTTGTTTTATTTGTTTTTATTTTATTTTGTGTGTTTTTCAAGTGACATTTTTATTTTACATTAAATGAAAGCATTTGGTCACTCTTTTTACATGGTTCCTTTGCAGGATGCAGGTGAAAACGTCAACACAACCGATTATTGTGTCCCTTCCAATATGCCATTGTGATGGTGAGCCTCCTTGTTATATTGCATCTCTCCTATTCTTTGTCCATCTTGAGAATTCTCACCTTCAATTGTTTGTATGTATGTGCACACAGCTAGGTTGATCGATGTAATATTTTCTGGAGTAATTTATAGCCTATTTAATGCTCCCTCCATCCCGAATTTATTCGGTCTAGTTTGACTTCACGGAGTTTAAGAAAGTTGTTGGAAAAAAAGTGGGTGGTTGGAATTTATTTAGAAGAAAGAAAGATTGTGGACAACATATTCTTTCCTTTTGTGACGGTCTAAAAACAAAAGTGAGATGATAAATTCGGGATGTGGGGAGCATGGATGTGGGGAGCATGTTTGAACTTTTATGCCATTCATATGCACAATGTCATATTTTTTACTCCTCTATATGGTTTTACACTTCAGATCTTAAATCTCGCAAATTACCTGGGAAGGATCTAGAAGAAGCTATCCTCCCAGCTTGTGTGTGTGCGTGCGCCATTTATATTGATCCTTGAAATGTGTAGAAAGAGTAGATAAAATACATGAGCTACATTAGTTTTAAACCTTTTTCTTTTGTTGATTTTGTATTCTATATATTTGAACTTTCATATGCAAAGTGTCTTACATGTTTCACTATATGGATTTCAACATTAGACGTCGAATCTGACAAATTATCTCGGAAGCAGCTAAATGAAGCTATCCTTTCGGCATTATTTGACATGCATGTTCCTGCTGTTTGTGCCATTAACCAGGTTTTTATGTCGTTAAATTATTTTTCTGCTGTTTTTTTCGATTAACGATGGCTGTAAGCTTCATGTGCCCTTGTAAATTGGGGGTAAAGATTGTGAACGATGTTATTATATTTGTTGAGTTGAACCTTTTGGCCTGATTTTTTAATTAAAAAAAGAGATGTATCGATCATGATCTTCTATTTGATAGTAAAACAGCATAATGCATTTTCTTGCTGCACAATTTTAAGGGGTGTCTTGATGATGTAATACCATAGCTTAGTTTTTAGCAGTAAAAAAGCAGTAACCATATGTGACATATTTTAGAAAACTAGCCAGTTCACCCTTTATGGGAAAGGAAATCTAACATAACTAGATATTATCACTGAAAATAATGAGAACCGAAATCTAATACACCCCGGTTCATAACATTGGGTATCAATGTGGGGCACCTATGGTGCTCCGTTCGAAAATTTGATGGTTCCTACCCCCGGTCCCCTCCCTTTTGCCGATTGGCTACAGTGATCACTGTAGGCAATCGGCGAGGGGGGGAGGGGGTTTTACGGAGGGGGTTGGGGGTAGGAACCATCAATTTTTCAAAATTGATACCCAAGGTCACATTAACCGTCCCCAATTTAATATGCACTTTGGCATTGTCTATCAATTCATTCATTTGCATGTGTTAATCTACATGCTTTCTTTGTACACTTAAAATAGAGTATCTTTTTAAACATATTGTTGTGACTTGCTCCTTTTTAAAAGTGCAGGCAGTTTTAGCTTTGTTTGCGGCAAGGCGGACATCGGGAATAGTTATCAATATTGGTTTTCACCAGACATCTGTTGTTCCAAGTAAGACATGGTTTTTTAAACTATGAATGTAATGCATTGCAATATGCACGCTCTTAGTGTTTTGCATTTTTGTTGTTGTAGTTCTACATGGCCAAATACTGCACAATGTTGGCGTGGAAACAATAGGAATAGGAGCTTTGAAACTTACAAGTTTCCTCAAGGAGCAGATGCAGCAAAAGAACATATATTTTGGCTCACTTTACACTGTACGCACATTAAAGGAGGTATGGCTTTTTTTTCTTCTCAATTCTCAGGAGGCCTTCAATCAACTTGGTATAATATAGAAACTTTGTGGATACTAGAATCACACCCGTGCATTGCACGACACGAAATTCAATATGAAAGGGTGTAATGATGTTCGTTAAGGGAATTGTGTAATGCTCCGTTTAATTTTCCAAGTAAATAAGGGAAGAAACCTAGCCAGATATGCACAATCTCTGAAATCTAAAATTTGCAAAGATTGAAGATGTGTAAAGAAGATTGATGTAAAAGAAGGTTTTCCTATGTGACGGGAACACTATTCACAGTAATAGTCTTCCTTTTATATTCTTGTTTTAAATGTAAAAACCTTTTAAGACTTGAAAAGAGAAAAAAAATAAGAACAGTGAAGTACAACTCTTAAATTTTCAAAATGATTTATTTTTAAATGATGTTATCAAATATCTTACCTGCTACTCTTCAGAGATGGTTTAGGGAGGTTTTGTGTGCATAAAATTGCACATTATAATCTCCAATAACGATCTAGTAAAGTTCAGATTTGTAATCTTGGAGTCACTTTGCATTTCTCCTTATTATTTTCTCAGAAGCCACAAAAAATTAGTGTGTTTTGTGGTATGTTTTTGATGTGTGTTCTTTAGTGGACGTGCAGAATCTCTGCTATGTTGCTCCCGATTATGAAGCTGAGCAATCCAAAGACACACTAGCCTCATTTCAAGTTCCATCAGAAGGTGTCTTTACACTTGATCAAGAACGGTTTCGAACAGGAGAAATTCTGTTCCAGCCTCATATAGCAGGAGTGTAAGTCCATGCCATTTTATTCTACAAATTAATGTGAACTATTGGCCGATTCTGTTTACGCTTTTCTTTCTCGTAGCTGTACTGCTCATTTAATGAGTGCACTTCCATATTCATGCCCTTCGTGCAGGCGTGCCATGGGATTACACCATGCTCTTGCATTGTGCATGGTGCACTGTCAAGAAGCAGAACTCGTTGCCGATGATGCTTGGTATAGAACTGTGATCTTGGCAGGCGGTACTGCATGTTTGCATGGGCTAGCTGGTAAACAGAAGCTTTTCTTACTGTTGTTTTTCCCTTTGGTATATCACCATCATATGCACATGTGAACTTTATACAAGTGGGGTACAAGAAAAACCCAAAGATTACTTTAAAGTTTAACACTATGTTTGGTTTAAGGAATTTGAAAGGTAAAGAAAAGAAAATGAGATGGAAAACAGTTTTTCTGAGAGGAAAGGAAAAGAAAAGTGGAAGGAAAAGAAAATCAGAAGACAAAATGTTCTAAAAGAAGGGAAAAACAAATTCCTCTCATTTGGCGAGGAAAATAAGAGAATCGTTTTCTTTTCTTTTCCTTCTGAGTTCCTTGAACAGTTGAACCAAACATAGTGTAAAGGAAATTAATACTGCATCATAAAGATTCAACTGAACTGCTTTCTTTGCACTGCATCTCCAGAAAGATTAGAGAAGGAAGTTTGTGGTCTTCTTCCCCCATCAATGTCTTTTGGCGTTAGAGTACTTCCTCCCCCTCATGGTGTAGATTCTGCATGGTATGGAGCAAAGCTCATCAGCAATGTAAGCTACTGCAAAACGTCTCTCGGCTTATTTAATTCTAAAAAATGCTTTCAAGCTCTAATATCATGTTAGATCCGGAATATTATACTCCATATATCGCTCCCACCGTCCCTAAATAATGTTTCACATCAACATTAAGATTTAAGAGCATCATGGTTATTAGAAAAATGAGAAAATGTGTGGTTTGAAGATTTATCTTGAAGATGAGTACTAGATTTGTGTTTTTTTGGGGAGCTGATATTGTAACTCTGTCTAAAAACCCTTTAAGAGCTCCCCAATTACAAACACATCTGAGGGTATTTTAGACAAAATACAGTTGAAAGGGACTGAGAATAGCCAAATGCGAGTGGCCATAACATCTTTTTTTTGTTGTTGCACAGTTGAGTACCTTTCCCTCTTCCTGGTGTGTGACAAAAAAGCAATTCCGCCAGAGGTCCAGACACAATCTTATATGGTAATAACCTGAGTGTAAGTTTATGAGTAAATCAATTCTTCTTCTTCTTTTTCTTTCAATCTGTTGTACAAAAAAAGTTGGGATGAAGCAACAAATCATATCTGTAAGTAGTATCATATATGCACATGGCGGTGGGGGTATAGATGATATACTTGTGTACTATATACCTTTTTTGTATTATAGTTTTATCCTTTTTATTGTATTATGGGTAAGGTCTGGGTATACACACACACTCGACACTTTACATTTTTGTGAGATTCTACTGGGTTGTAAAATTGTTACTGTTGTATGGGTTTGTCTTCATATTACTACTAGTTTCTTTCCAATTTAAGTTGCATACTATTTAAATAGTGAAACTTTAATCATTTTTTACTCATTACAGATACTCATTTGATAAAACTCATGACACTTCTTTTCATGTACAACTTTTGATTTAGTTTTCAAATGTATAAATTTAATTCCTTAGTCTAACTCAATTTTTCATATAAATTTATTTAAAAATAATTTAAATCAAACATCGTAAACAATAAGAGATAATTTAAACTGAAATGCTTGGAACATTTTATTGTTGGTTCAGTCAAAAAAAGGATTTGAGTTTTATTTTATACTCCTACATAAATATGACCATGGTACTATGTTATTGACCACAAAAGTATTACTCCGTAAGCACATACCAATTTCTCTTAAAAAATGATTCGACTAATTCCTTCTAATGTAATGTAAAATTTATACTTGTAAGGAATGTAATGTGGTTTTTATTCTTTGGAAAAATAATTTATAATAATCCTGGTTAACTTTGGCCAAAATTATCCACTTTTCAACATTATGTCCTTCCTTCGTCTTTAAAAAATTGTTACAATGAGACTTTTTGGGTGTAATTGTGATACTCTTTGACCATGAATTAAATATAGTTTAAAATAATTATATATTATAAAAATGTTATACTTCAAAACTATATTTTAAAATAAATTCAATTTTACTAAATTTACATTATACCTAAATATACTTTTTCCATAACTTGCAGTCAAAGGGTGTCACAGTTTGACAAAAAAGTCAAACTGTAGCAATCTTTTAGGGACAGATGTTACAATAATTTCACCTTTTTTTTGTTTGCGCGTTTTGGATCGATTTTAGAAGGGTAATAGCACTCTAATGGTATTTTTAGAAAAAGTCTATTTTGTGCAACAAAATTAATGTTGGAATTATTTAATGTAATTCTTTTTAATTGAAATTGTGTTTTTTAAAATTATAAAATTATGCTCTTGTTAGATATTTGTGTTCGTGTTTTAAAAATATAGCAGTACGTAAAAAGATTGTAATATCGAGAAAAAACATTATAGTGCCTACAAAAAAATACTATCGGGGAATGAGAAAAAATGTAAGTTATCAAAAAAGTAATTACTAGTGCCACACTCCAGAAAGAAAAAAATGATGATGCAGAAAATGATCGTGGAGGAGGAAGTGATGAAGAAACGACATGAGAAAAAGACTTACGAAAGGAAAAAAGAGAGATGCTCAAAAATAGAATGGAGAATGGTAGAGTTTTTTTTAGAGAGAAAATGGTAGAGTTAATTCCATAAAAGTAGGAAAAGATAAAGATAATTATCTTCTAAATTACTTCCTCCGTCCTAATTTATAGTGCATGTTCACTATTCACTATTCACAATGTTCACTATTTGTCATATAAAATGATTTGAAAATGATTTCAGTCAAACATCGTAAACCGAAACAGACTTTATAAATTGAGACGGAGGGAGTATAAGGAAAGAAATTATTTTATAAAAAATTATTTGGTACTAATCTCTATGTTTTAGTCCTATTTAGGGTGATTTCTAAGATTAGGAAGAAAGACCAAAGTAGGACTAAAACATTGAAAATATACCAAAAAAGGACTTCAATGTTTTTATTCCCGAAATAGGACTTACATTACCAAACATGGTCATATACATTACCAAAAAAGTATAGTAATCTGCACATGCACTGCCACATTACCACAATGCAAAGTCACATTACCACAGTGCAAAGTCCTATTTCGGGAGAAAAACTATGAAAGTCCTATTTTGGTACTAATCTCTATGTTTTAGTCCTATTTAGGGTGATTTCTAAGATTAAAATTGGAATATGGCTAAACGGGCTAATGATTAGGATGAAGGACACCTTGAATAAACTAAGGGCTTGTTTGGAAAAAGCGTTAGAGATTAGCGTTAGCGTTTTGGATAAAATTTTAACGGTGTAGATTACTTTGAAAATGCTAACGGTAAACGTTGGTAGTAGATAGTCATTTCAAAACGCTAACGCTAATCGCTAACGTTATTCCCAAACAGACCCTAAATCCTATATTAAGAAAAAAACCTATTTAGTCCGGCCTCCTATTATGAAAAAGAATTATCTTTTTTTCTTATATGGAGCAAATTTTTCTAAAAATACTTATAAGTAATTTTGACCAATTTATAAATACACAAAAATAATCACTAAAGGTTTAAAGATTGAGGGAGCATAACACTAACTTTTAAAAGTTTGTTAAGGAACCAAATCAAGGAAAAGCTCAAGCTTGAGATTGTGGCCCTAGAGAAGTTATTTATACACTAATATGCCCTCTCACGTGCAAAGTAGTCTTTTTCAAGCCTTGCGCGTCAAACTTTAAATTTTTTAGAACTGGGTTGCACTGAGTTTTGAATCTGTGACTTCTTAGTCAACAAAGCTCCGATATAATGTCAACAAAATCAATTCAACCAAAAGTTCAAGCTTTTGGTTATGGCTAGGAGAAGTTATTTATACTCTAACAAAGTTAAACATGAGCCACTTCCATGCACCCCTAAGAGCACTAATACCTTTGAAGCCCCGGAGCTTCAAATCGGGATTTCAAAATTTCTCTATCTGTCACGTCAGCTTTAATTTACCTCACAGTTTCACAGGAAATGAGTATGAAGCCCCAGACTTCAAATTGAGTCTTTAAACCTTAATTTTCTTAATTTTTTATTACATATTTTATAAAATTAAATTAATAAAACTTCATTAATTAATTAAATTTAAACGACAATAATTCTTTAAATGAAAACAATTACCTTGAATAAAAAAAGAACATTTAATTAAAAAATATATTAATTTAAAACATAAAACAAATTATATTTAGCCTTGATCTCGTTATGTCTTCTCTCCAAAGCAAATTATATTCGCTTGGTCGTTTGACTCGATACGAGACAAAGAAACATTAAAACTGAAGAGATTCATGTTAAAAAAGATGAAAAAAATTGGATATTTTTTTAATTTGAAGAAGATAGAGGAAAAGATTTTATAAGTGTTTATTTTTAAAAAAAAATTGAAAAAGAATGATTTTGTTTGTGAGTTTTATTTTTAAAAATGAGTTGATTTATAGGAGAGATTTTTTTAGTTTGTAACGGCTTGTAGCCGTTTGAATGGAGAGATTCCGTGCAAAACGCCCGTTATAAATTTGACATGGTGTCAATAACGCCCGGATGAAGTCCCAAGAGGCGGTGTTTAATGCCCCTCAGGCGTTACGACCATTACCCTAAGCATTGGCGCGGTGAATGTTTAGGATGTCCGTCCACTTTAACATGGGATTCACATTGATTTTTTACTCTCTGTCCATTTTACAAAGTATTCCTTCCGTCTTAAAATTAATTTTCATTTCAATTTACGACGTTTGACCAACATGATTTTCAATTCAATTTATTTGATTATAAGTGTAAAATTAAAAAATAAAATTTATATATTTAACAATTATATCAAAAGCGATACAAGATTAAGAGTAACATTACTATATTATTTTATCAAATAACTAATATAAGTAATGATGGTGAAATGGGAAACTAATTTTAGAACGACAGAAATACCTTTCAATGGGCATTGGATGTCCAAATCCCACCATCAATGCCGGCCTTGTCTTCTTGAACCCTTTCACAGAGTATATTAACTTCAAAAAAACGAAAGCACGTGGAGGCAACCTAACCAAACCAAAGCTAATGCAAATTAAATCTGTGCCTTGGACAGTTCATCATTCACTATTTTTCTAATGAAAATAAAAATGAGATGCAAAAAAACTTCTCCATTTTATTTTATTTTATATATTTGTATAATAAAGGGAAATAAAATAGTAAAAATTCAAGATAAAGAAAAAAGAAGGACATGAGTGTCATTTTTACTTTAAAAATATGTAAGGGGGACACCCATGCTATTAGAAATCATAAGAACTTTACAAACGATTTTTGAAAATAAAGAGAATTTTGACACTCTTTTTGTAAATCATGGAGGACACCCATTGTAGAAACGGGACCACCAGGATGTTTCCAAATTCCTATCCACCCCTTTTTTTCCCAGTGTCATCCTTCCCATATGAAGTAGTCACCAAATAGCGTAGAAGTGAGAAGCTTGGGGCCATTGTATCTCCAAAATTATAATAATGGAAAGGATAAGATATAATTCGGCTATTATTATTACTAGTATAACAATGCTACTTGCGTCTCTTCATATACTCTCTGCATTCCCTACTGCTTTCTCAGGTTTGAACCCTCTGTTATTTATCTGTTGTTTTACTCTCTTTTTTTTTCTTTTAAAGGTTATTTTCTCATTTATTTATGGATGCAGAGGGGATTTCGGGTTCCACGGGGAGAAACCTCCTTCAGATCCCCAAAGGTAAATTATTTTCCCAAAAGTATGTTTTTGATTGTTAAGATTAAAAACATGCCTTATTTAAAGATGATTTTAAACTATTTTAGCAATATGGAGACGGGCGGCATAGGGTGGAGGGGGGAAGGAGTAGGGAGGGGCGGATGACATTGGTTGCCGAGTGCCGGAGGATGGTGAGGTGGGGGATAATGGGCAGGGGCTGGGGTGGGTCGGGTGAGGGTGGGTGTGGACGGGGGATAAAGTGTCAGGTAAAATTAACCACTCGCATAAAAATTCAGGATTCACTATTCTAACCAAAAAACTTAAGCTGAAAGGTAGGGTTTCATCATTCTTTATATGTTAGTATGTTACTGGTATTCGTCTTTATTTTCCGATGTAGGAACTCCAACAGGGTAGGGGTTGACTGGGGGCAGGTGGTAGGGGAGTTGGGGCATGAGGTGTTGGGGAACAAGGTGGGCAAATGGGCGCGACTCGCGAGGACAAGAAGCGAATAAGAACTTTCCTTTAAAAACAAACGGAAAATATTTTCTTCTGGATGAGAATAAGAATTTTCTTTTAAAAATATTTTCCTACCACTTGTGTTACCAAAGAAAACAAATAGAATCAAAGGTTTCCAAAAAAATATTTTTCCCACAACCAAACAGACCTTTAATCTCAAACTCCATTACAAAAAAAAAAGAGCACACTATCCCCTACACCTCTTAGTTTTAAAGCTTCATGTACAAAACACACCTATGGTAACACTCCATGGAATTGCAGAATGCCCTATCAGCTTTGAGTTCAAGAACTACACAATCATCACCAGCCAATGCAGAGGCCCACACTACCCACCAAAGCAATGCTGCGACGCGTTCGTGCGGTTCGCGTGCCCCTTTGCCCCCTACTTGAACAATTTCACCGAGTGCTCGAAATCAATGTTCGACTACCTCAACCTCCGGGCCCGTTACCCCACCGGTCTCTTCTCCAGCCTGTGCAAGGGAGACCGGGAAGGCCTCCCTTGCGTTGCAGCGGCGCCACCCGTGTCGCAGCCCGACGCGGGTTCCCATTCAAGTGGCATTGTTTTGACGAAACGCAAGACGTCTCGATTGGCTATGGTTTCAAAGACTTTGTTTGTGTTGGTGTTTCCCATGGTGTTCATCTTGGCTTGAAAGTACTTTTAGGTCATCAATCAAGCATGGGAAACCAAAGTATTCCCAACCCAATTCTTCTACGTCTTGTTGTGAGACACTCTACCGGGGTTGCTTAAATTATACTCTTTGTCGGAGAAAGTTCTTCCAAATGCTTTTTTTTTAATTGAGAAAAGATCTAAATATTACTCCGTACCTTTTTTAAAATTTGAAGTACCACAATTACTTTATTTTATATATTACACCTCACCGGATACTCCACCCACTTTCGTTAAGGGTAATTTAGTATATTTTTACCTTCTTTCAACTTTTTTTTAAAAACATGAAAAGTCCACTTGGAAAGTTCTTTCACAAACAGTATATGCTCACGGTTCCAAAATGATCGTCATTTCATGACTATGTGCAAATGTTTTTTTGGGAAATGTTTGGATAAATTAAGGGAGAAATTACTTCAGAAGGAACCTTTTTTGCATCTAATTCCTATGAGGGAGATCAAATTTTAAAATCCCAATAATAATTTTTTTTGGTTTATTTCGGGATTTAGAAACTAGATTTTTAGGATTTCTTTTTGAAACACTACATTTTTAGGATTACTATAATTAAAATAGTTATTGAACCAAAATTCAAACATAGAGAAAATATCAAAATTGTAAAATACAGAGTATGAGTTATATGATTTTAATCACAAAACAGGATCATTGCTCTCTGACAATTTGGCAACATATTTTGGTATTTCATACTCCATCCGTTCCTCAGTATCTGTCCATATTTGATTTTTTTTGGTTAAAATTGGTAAACTTTGACCTCAAATTGAATAAAAATGATATTAGCTATTGATACAAAAATAATTTATTAGATTTATTATAAAAAATATTTTCAAAATATTCTTTTCTTTAACTAATATAAAGTATTTATTTTATGAAAAATTTGCCAAAATTTAACTAAAAAACAGTAGTTTTCCCAATGTAGTACCATATATACACTGTAGTATCACTCGTCATTGCCAATTTCCCAATGTAGTACCAGTGGTCATTGTCAATTGGTCATTGTTCAAGTAAATGTCCACCGGCACGGGACAGTGTTCAAACTAAATGTCAACCATCACTGTCCACCATCAAGTAAATGTCCACCGCCACGGGATAATGTTCAAACTAAATATAGAGTTTTTATTTTGATATTTTCTTCATGTTTTACTTTTAATCTAGTCTTTTTTCTTTAACATACTACTATTTTGACCCGTGCCACGCACGGGTTCGAACAAAATTTTTATCGATTCAAATAATTTTTTTCAATATAATATATTTTCGGACTAAAGAAAATACATTTCTAACACGACCTTTTAGTATTGTAGACATTACCATCACAGTAGACCTGGCAAAATTGACCCGGACCCGATAACCTGAACCAAATAACCCGGAACCAAATCCAAATTGACCCGAAAATTGAAGAACCGAAATAGAACCGAACACCCGAAATGATCCAAACCGAACTGAACCCGAACCGAATGTATTCACACCCGATTCAGACCCGAACCCGATTAAACCCGAACCGATTAAACCCGAACCCGGTTAAACCCGAAACTGATTAGATCCAAAACTGATTAGACCCAAAATTGATCAAATTCGTTAATATTTCAATTATCAAATGAATTTGAAGAAAAAGAATTACCTATATTGATCAAACCAATTAGACCCGAAATTGATCAAATTCGTTAATATTTCATTTATCATATGTTGATGTATTTCTAAAAAAACATATTTAAATTATGGGTGCAATCCGTGTAACTACTTTCATGTACAAATCTTTTATTCCGTATTTTATATCTTAAGTGAAAAGATTTTTGTATTTTTATAGAGAGTATATAAAAATTATAGTGACAAATACTCGGTGACAGAGGGAGTATATTTTTATATATAATTATTCAAGTATTTGAAACACAAAATGAAATGGATAGTTAAATAAAAATTGAGGAAGTACGAGGTAGAATGTTAACTAAAAAGTTCGCGCCAAAAACTTTAAGAGAAAAAACTTTAGAATGTAAACAATTAGTCAATTATGTAATTAAGTGTTTATTTTTTATGTACGTCCGTATTAAATAATAAAATATCTACGGAGTATGTCATAAATTAACTAAATTTATTATGTGATATTATTCATTTATTAGTATGTGTTTACATTATACTTGAACTAATATAAATTTAAACTGATATAAACTCGAATCTGTATAAACCCGAATCGATACAAACCCGAACCGATAGAAACCTGAACCGATACAAACCCGAACCGATATAAACCCGAACTGAAATCGAACCGAAACCGAAAACCAATCAAACCGAAATAAAGCCGGAACCGAACCAACCCGAACCGATTATAACATATAACCGAAAGAGACCCGAACCGAAAAGACCCGAACTGGAACCGAACTGATTGACCCGATTGCCAGGTCTACATCACAGTAGTATAAATAATATTGCAAGAGTAAATTCCATAATTAGTCCTTTATAACAGGGGGGTTTCCATATTTAGTCCTCTATTATCAAATATTACCCCCGTAGTCTTTTTTTAAGGGTATCTTTCCACAAATGGTCCTTTTTTTGATTTTCTGCCGTGTTGGTGTTAAATTAAAGGCTAAAACTATAATTTGACGTCAACATTATGTCTAGTGACGTGTTCTAATATTGGTTAAGCGGATAACACAAAAATAATGACTATGTTTGTGGGCTAGGATTCTGGCGAAAGATCACATTTGTAGACTATAGTTGTCGTAAAAAACGACTGTAATTCACAATTGACGCAAACGGAACAGCCTTTGGAATTGTGTATGACAAAAAAGATATATTATCATTGTGAAATTACACTTTTAGCCCTCAAATTAACACCATCATGATAGAAGATCAAAAAAAGGACTATTTGTGGAAAGGTACTCATAAAAGAAGGACCACTTAGGTAATATTTGATAATAGAGGACTAAATAGGGAAACCCCCTGTTATAAAGGACCAATTATAGAATTTACTCATATATCAATTATTAATGTTTTGTATAAATTCTTTCCTAGATAGTATATGCTCACTGTTCCAAAATGATCGTGGATTAAATTTTTATAAGAAATTACCTCCGTCCCAAAAAATTCTCATAATTTGATTTTTGATCAAACGGTGACACATTTTGACTACAAATTAAATATAACTTTAAATAATTAATTTTTACTCCCTTCGGTTCTAAAGAACTTTCCTATTTGGACTTTTTTGATCAAACAATTACACACTTTAAATTAAAAATTGTGAGAAAAATATTCTTAATTATAATATAAATTCAATATAGTTGATTAATCTTAAGATATAGTTTTGATATATCAAATTTTTATATCATTTATTTATTTAGATTAGATTTGGGGGGTGTATTCAATTAGGATTTTATAGGATTTTTTTAGATTTTAAAAAGTTAGTGGATTTGAAAAATTTGTAGAATCTATATAGAGTTTGATTGATTTTTTGTAGAATTCATGTAGAGTTAGAAAAATTTGTAGAATCTATTTAGAGTTTGAAAAATATTTAGATTTTGCAACAGTAATGTTGCTCCTATTTCTCCACGCCAATCGGATCTGCAGCAGAAAAGCAGAGGAGGATCCACGCTAATCGGATCTGCAACAGTAATGTTGCTCCAAGACCTGCTTTGCAGAATTGCAATTTGGAAGGCGCCAAACTCCGCCGCAAACACCCGGGGTCCGAGGTGGAGGATCCCCGATCACCGTCAGAGCTGCACCGGCCGTCCAAGACGAGGTCGGAGGGACAGTCCAAGATGAATCGGCGGTAGACGGCGGCGCAGAAGAGGAGGAAGAGTAAAACCGGAAGAGATGCCTCCAGTGGCTATTTGGCAGCCATGTTTTGAGCTTTTTGTGGATAACGATGATGATGATTGGGGAGAGTACAGCAAGGGGATGGAACGCAGGGATGGAAGTAGAGCAAGGGGATGGAAGTGCAGCAGGGAACACAGGCCTGGTGTGAATGAAATCCAAAGAAATCTAGTGGTGTGAGTAGAGATTTTAATGAGTGAAAATATAAGCATTTTTTGAGAAAAAATCCAACAAAATCCATGGATTATTAAAATTCATAAACTCTTGAATACTTCAAAATTTGTAAAGACTTTTGAAAATCTAAGTTGAATACTTTTATATTTTTAAAGACTTTGGAAAATCATTATTGAATACCTCAAGATTTTTAAAGACTTTTGAAAATCCAGATTGAATACACTCAGATTTTAAAAATCCAAAAAAAATCCTACAGACTCCAGATTCAATACACCCCTCAATTTGTAATCAAAGACTGTCACAATTTTACTAAAAAGTCAAAACAGGAAATGTCTTTAGGACCGGATGGAGTATAAAATTTAATATCAAAACTATATTTTAAAATGAATACAATTTTATTAAATTTACACTATAACTATATATACAATTTTCACACTTTATGGTCAAAGTACTGCTGTGACAATCTTTTCGAGACGGTGGAGTATTTAGGAAAGAAAAAAAACTTCGTCTGACAGGACAATTGATTGTGGTCCAATCGTTTAGCCGTGTTACATCCAATTTCCCTGGGATAATTGACACTTAATTCCACCCCAAATGGTTGGGATTAAACTGATGATGAACAAACAACACACCGCACACAAAACACAGCATTTTCATTGATCAACCATATAACAACAAAGGTTAAAAGAAGGTTACAAATGAAATAAAATATAGCACACCAGATGCGGATAGCCGTTGATCCAACGAAACTAAGTGGAGATTCGAGCAGGGAAAACCATCACAAGCAAATAGTTTGTTATTGCGATGTTCCCAGCCGAATATCTCCAGCCAATACACACACGCCATACCGTTTATCTTATAGATGATTGCGCAGGCGCCCCAATTATGGTTGGGAGGCATGGGCTGCACTGCAACCACCGCCGCAATGACACTGTTTCCTACTAGTGGTCTAGAACAGCATGCTGAGTGAACTTCAAATCCCTCTAATGGAAGAATTATCATCACTCACCCTGTGGTTTTGGCCCTCTTCATTCCAAGGCTGTTAAAGGGGGACACGGAACCAGACATCTGAGAACCATCATCACGAAGGGTGCCATTGATCATTGCAAGTTCGCGCAGCTGCTGCTTTTTATAGAAGTCCTGAGATTCATCCTGCTTTTTTGAGAAAATATTAAAACTCGGGCAGGGAATTGAGAGAGAGGAAAACCAAAGTCCTTATAAGGGAAGTGAATAATTCGGAAGGAAAAGAAAAAAGTCTCTCCTTTTCCTCACCAAAAAGGAAGGAAAGTTGTTTTCCTTCTAGTTTGTTTTCTCCTCTCATTATCTTTTCTTTCCACCTTTCTATTATTTTCCTCTCTAACCAAACAAGAAAAGTACTTTTCCATATTATTTTCTTTTATTTTCCATTTCAAATTCGTTGAACCAAACATAGTCTTAGCGTCACCAAAGTTAGAAAAGACAAGAATTACCACAGGCTTGAGAAGATCTTCAAGAATCTCACGTGCTTGTTCTATCCGAGCATCAATTATCTCCACAGGAAGTTCAGCCTCCACAATTAGATGAAGGGGTTCATTCAGGTGTTCATACCCAGATTTACCTCTCATCATTTCTTCCTTTAGATAATACAATAGTAAATTAAACATGATTATTAAGTTAAAATACACCCATGAGAAATTTATAGTATTAGAGAACAAACTTTGCCATTTTTTCTAGTAGTAAAAATTAGATGAAGTTGGAGTTCTGGAAGAGTCTAGTAAGGTGCTTGTCCTAAATCTCATCCCGGACGCTAGCCTAGCAAAAATGTTATGCTCACCTGGCATCCCTTTGCATTTGCTGATTTGCCCTTGACCCTACTTTTGAGTGTGATATATTTGGTTTAGTTTGGTTTCTAGAGAACAGGACATGAGTTTTTTATTCATCTATTTCTTCTTTTGATGGTGCCGAGGTCAGGGTATACGTGGGGTGGGGTGGGATGGGGTGGGGTGGGGTGAGAAGATTCATTTGATAGAAATAAATTGGCAGACGGATGAAATTAAGTCCAGCACCTTACATCTCATAATTAGTGGGGTTTTGCAATGATTAGTTATAGAAGCCACACAATTCTGATATAACCATCAATGATGAAGCTAAAAGATAAAGTTGGGGCATATTAGGGATCCGAAGATATCCCTCAGATAGATGAACCCCCCCCCCCCCTCTAATCCTATTGTCAGAGACTAATTAGGAAGAATTGTTTAATTGTTTTAGAAATGATAACTTAATTGATGATTATGTGAATATAAATAGGCAAAGCCTTCCATTTTCATACTAGGAAACATGAATGCTTATTTAGGAATATTAATTAAAATAGAATAATAATTAAAATAGAATAATACTACTAATAGGACACTAGTAATAACAATAGTAATATAATGATAATAATAACAATAATAATAATGACTGATTGAGTACTAAACCCTATATCCATAACAGAATCCTTCCCTCTTTACCATACACGGCTGTGCTGGCAGTGAGATGCATGTTAAGTGCTAAGTGACCATACACAGTAAGCCAAATGCAGGAGTAAATGCTACCTTTGCTAGATCCTTAATGCTCCCACATCCTCTGATTAAAACACGGCAGTCTGTACTTGCTTCCACGCGTTTAAGTGAGTTCCCTCTAGGTCCAAGGAGGCGACCAACAAAATTGTACTGCATTAGTTAATGGTTAGCATTGAAACATATTTCCACACATTACTGAAATCATAAATCAGCATGCTGGATGAAAACACATACATTGGGATATTGCTCGACAGGAATGTCAATTCTGATTGTTCGCTTTACAATAAGGCCAGATGGACTACTACTACGACCAGAAAGCCAGTTTTGAGGGCTGGTGGATTGCAGTAGACCTGGCATCTGCGCATCAAAAGTGTAAATCTTGTCATTGAGTGAAGGGAAGGGGTGGAGAATGCTTTCATTTGCACAGATTGCTGCACTTTTAGAGGATTCATCCAAATATTCAATATAGCTATTGATTTGACAAAACTTAAGATTCCAGAATGCCTGGGCTACATGTAATTTAGCATGGATCAATTCATAGCAAAAGAAAGTATAAATAATATGTTTCATCCAAAAGAAATGCAACATGCATTTAAATTCCATGCTTTTAGGAATCACTGTATCAGAATGACTGTATTACAGTACTGAACATTTAACAAAATAATCCATTTATTATTGTTAGCATGAATTAATGCAAAAAACTCTAGCAGAGATTCTAAGTAAAATAACGCATTCTTATTGGGAAACTCTGGCACAAGTTATCGCATTTTAGACAGATGAAGGACAGCCTCCTATTCCCCCATCTCAAAATCATTTCAACAAAAAATACGAAGTGAGGAGGTAAGGTTAATACTTAAATCAATCATATGACAACTAGTAAATATAAAGCATAGCACTGAATCAATGTGCACCACTAAGCCTATAAATCAGTCTTGACATTGTTACTTGTTAGCTTCAAAGTTCAAACTACCTGTCATGACAAACATTATGTTAAAAATACCTTAAAAAATAATCAAGTCAGCAATTAGAGTAGAAAAATGTGTCAGTATCTTTTGAAAATAAAAATTAGATTAAAGTGGTTATATGTTAATGGTTAGTATCCATACTTCAGATTGAAACTGTGATGCCCTTCGGTCCATGTTAGCTCCTCCATTTGAAAATAATCCTCCCAAAGCCATGGGGCTAGCATGTTCAAGCCCACTTTGACCTAAAATAGATGCATTCTCCAAGAGTGCACTTACACGCAATATTTCTGCTTCAAAAGGTCAATTTTCAAGAACAAGATGTACCAGTGAGCATTAGTTGAAAATTACTCTATAGTTAGCAGTCATCAATATTGACCGAGTGAAGGCCATTTCACCAAAGGTTTAAAAAGTAAATCGCATGTCATACACTGATCACTGATAAATCCTACACTGAACCAACAAAAGGAACCCTATTTGACCAAGTTAACATCGATCTACCCATGCAGTTGCAACTCTGGTAAAAATTAGTGGGATTGGACAAAATATAGGGAATATGTAAGCATGGCAGAATGATATGCATTATTAAAGGACAAAGTTTCAATCTTCCATCCATATTTTAACTCCTACAATTCCTCATTTAACCACAATTAAGCCTCAATTGACATCAGCAAAGAAGTGTTTCTTGCAGTATAATGAATTACACGCATTTAAGTACTTATTAATTCTATGCAGAGGTTAAAACTTACCCTGGTGCAGCAAACGATAACAATGAGGAAGCACAGGCATAAATGGACTAAGTTTGCTTCGTTCTGCTAGCAACTCCGCAAGATGCCTTTCAACATGAAAATAAGCAATAAGATAAATTAGTGGCAGAAAAATTTCAAGCAAACCTAGCACTGGCTAACTAGAGTTTTAAATAACTTCAATCTTTAGTTTACATAGCCAGGCAATTGCATGCTCCCAGATATTTGGATCTGTTTTTATTTTGGACATCCAATGAGATTATGTAAATGATAACTCTTAATGGTACAAGGTGCAGGCACATCAACAGTTGTTTCTTCAAATGTAGTAGCAGTCCATCCCCGATTGAAAACATGGGCATGAATGGTCCCTCAACTATTGACAAATGGGTAAACTGGTCCTTTCTATCATTCTACTAGAAAACCTAATGCACAGATAGTTTGATCTCATTCCAAATGGATGGGAGGCTAACACTGTACAATAAATTGTACATAAGTGCTCAATCCATGCATCAACTATTGGAAATAGAAGAAAATGATCCGCAACCTAATAAAAAATGCATGGAAATGATCATTCTATTAAGATGACCTAACAAAAGAGCTATTACTGACCAATCTAAATAATTGATTGACAATTGTTGTCCAATTATTGACACCTGGAATGAAAAATGAAATTACTACTATATTCAAGGGAAATTTGTGTTCTTTTTTTTCCTGTGGGAGATTTCTTTGAAAGGAAGGGTGCAAGATATAAAACTACTCGATGCTCTTGAGCATGGTTGGAAGAAGCAAACGATGACTAGTCTTTAACTTTCCAAACAATGCATAACCCCTTCGGCCCTTCTTTGGCTCAAAAGAGGAGAGTGGAGAGGAGAACCAAAAAGAGTGTTGGTATGCATCATGGAAGAGTTAAAAAATGTTTTGTTTAGTTCAACGGGGGAGATTAAAAAAATCATGAAAAAGTATAATCATTATATTTATCATAAATTTTATTGTAATCAATAAATATATAGTAAACTCTATGTATAACAATAATAATGTATAACAATTTTGATTTCAAAAGAGAAAAAGAAATCAATAAAAAGACCCTTCATCAAAATTCCCCCGAATTAGAGAATGGGATATGAGGATGGAGGAATATATACCTCCTCCACTTCCTCCCCTTCCCTCTTAACTCTTCCAAGCAAGCATGCCACTCATCCACTTTCTCCACTAAAGAAGGGGCTACTGTGAAGCCAATGCGGCAGAATCGATATAGAAACATCATCACCACTAAGGATGGAAATGATAAACACCCATAAAGCATTACTTCATGCGAGAAGAAAACACTCTGACTCCAAATAAAAAAAACAATAGGAATTAGTTTTTTGCCGTCTCAGATCAATTGAGAAAACGGTATGGATTCTAGGGAGGGAAATGATATACTCTTATGCTATAAACATATGATTTGAGAATCTATAAACCCCAACAACAACAACCAACAACAACAACCCAGTTAAATCCCACAAGAGTAGGGTTTGGGGAGGGTGTGTGTACGCAGACCTTGCCCCTACTCGAAAGTAGAGAGGCTGTTTCCAAAGAGACCCCCGGCTCAACGTCGAAAGTTGCATTGCTTGACTAACTGCTACTTCATTAATTAAAGAAGCGCAGACAGTTTAGAGATCCATTTTGATTTATTCCATCACACCCCAAAGCCAAAAAATGGTGAAATTTTGGCTCCATCAGAGATGATGGAAAGAGAATCTATANGAGTAGGGTTTGGGGAGGGTGTGTGTACGCAGACCTTGCCCCTACTCGAAAGTAGAGAGGCTGTTTCCAAAGAGACCCCCGGCTCAACGTCGAAAGTTGCATTGCTTGACTAACTGCTACTTCATTAATTAAAGAAGCGCAGACAGTTTAGAGATCCATTTTGATTTATTCCATCACACCCCAAAGCCAAAAAATGGTGAAATTTTGGCTCCATCAGAGATGATGGAAAGAGAATCTATAAACCCCAGTTACACAAAAAACAACGAAAGTCAGATTCCAAGATGTATTAAAACACTGTGAGTAAAAAACATTTCAGTCAAAGTTTAATAAGCACAACTGAGGAAACAGGAAACAGTTCTGGGAACTGGCAAAGAGGCGACAAGCAAACATTCTTACACAAGCACCAAATGGCTGAGTTCAACTATAACTAGCCATAATACCACACCAAAGTCAGCTGAAATCAAAGAAAAACAAGAGGGTAATCCGATGTAGAGACCAAGCTTTTTATGAACACAGAACAAAAGCTTGCAACCCAGGAAAATACAATCAAACAGCTAAAACCGCGACTCCAAAAAGGGTACACAGATAATCCCATAGATCCAAATTGGGCGATAACTTCTGGAGGAAACAAACAGGGTTTACCTTTCATGCTCCGCAAGTGGGGAGGAAGAGGAGCGAGTGGCGGCGATGTGGGGAGGGAGGGGAGCGGAGGGGGACGGGGAGTAGGCCATAAACCTGCCGGAAGCCATGTCCGTTGACAGCATCATGAGCTCCGATGATCGGAGATCCGCCGATCTCCCTCGTCCTCTCCGGTACTACCTAATGATGAAGGGAACAATTCAATGGAAGAATATGTATAGTGTCGGTGGAGAAAAACGAGGTATATGTATTGATGAATCCGAGATTTGCATACCAACCAATACCAAATGGGGAGTAGTAGAAGTGTACTGTTCTTTCTACTGAGTATACTACTTGCTGCTAGGAGTCTAAGGACAGTAGGAAAAGAAAGAAGAGGCAACTTTTCTACTCTGCTTTCCAACCTTGCGGTTGATTGACACGCCATCCCTCTTCCCCACCATCCCAATCATTGTATCAAAAAAGTTAGCAAACTTTACTCTTCACCATGGAAAATATATAGAGTATAGAGTAATTTCAATTTTATTCGATCTTTTAAAAATAATTTTGCAATTTCATTATAGTACATAATAATCATAAATTTTATTGAAATTAATTACTCCCTCCGTCCTATATCTTTCTTCCCATTGCGTAAAACGAAGAAAAATCTCAAGTTTTTTCAATCTATTTTATTTAAATATTGGTATAGAAATAAAAAACAAAACATACATATTTAAAAACTACATCAAAAGTTCAACAAAACAAGTGGTGACAAGAATATTTTATTTTATCATATAGGCCATGAAAAAACACAAATAAATATAAATTCCCGTAAAGTTGGAATAGTGCTCTGAGAAGAAAGTTTTAGGACGGAGGGAGTAGTTTTGGATCACCGTTAAGTTGCTAATGGCAGGTTTACAGAGACAACATGTTTCGCGCAACAAATCGAAAGTTGGAATTATTTTTGATAAATTTTTCGTTTTTAATTTTTGCTTTTTAAATTTTCATTTAGATTTTTAAAATGAATTCCTACCTCAATTTATTTTTCTTTTTTTAAAGATTAGTCTTATCTTATAAAAATAAAAAAATAGATATATAAAAATAACAAAAATGAGAAAAAATGATTAAAATCATACAAAATTAAAGAAATAAATAAGGTGACGAGTAAAAATTAATCTGAAACTAGTAATAAATATAATATTAAAGAGTGGAGGGTTCTAACAATGGGTGAATTTGGAATTATTTTAAATAAAAATATCAGTAGCGTACTAATATACTACTTATTTGTCTGTGCATTAAAAAAATGTAGCCTAATGTATGTGTAGCAACATGCATTAAATAAAAGCGTAGCAGCCTTCAAATTGGAGTACACAAATTGGAGTTCCTTATTTTTTTCTAAATAGGATTTCGTACTGTGTACAGGGCAGTTTACTATATTTTTTGGTAGTGTATATGGTCATGATTGATAATATAAATACATCTTAACTCTTATTTCGAAAATAAAAACATTGAACTCTTATTTTAGTATATTTTCAATATTTTACTCATACTTTAGTCTTTTTCCCTTTATTTATAAGAATTCAAAACTTGTTTACCATAAAAATTTATAAACCGAAAATTTCATTTTTTTAATACGAGAATCAATTTAGGATGGGTACAAATTTAAAAAAAAATAAGAAATCGCCTCAAATAGAAGTGAAACATAATATTTATCCTTAAAATAAAAGTACCATTTTTTTCTTTGAAAAATACTTGGTGAACACCACTTGGGGTACACCAAATGTACACCAAGTCTAAAATAGGCACACACAAACACTTAATGCATGTGGCTGTGTGTGCCTATTTTAAGATTGGTTACATGTGGTGTACCCCAAATAATGTTACCCTAGCACTCTTCTTTTTTCTTAAAAAAGGAAATTTTACTATAACATTACGAAATTGTATATTGGCATCTCATTATATTTTTTTGTTACTATATTGGCTTTATTAGCATTGTATTATATTTTGGAGATAAGAAATATGAAATTCCTATTTTGGCACCTTGTCCATATTCTATTTCAAGTTTAGTCTCATTTCTAAAAGAAATTAGAAATTATTACCCTGTTTTAACAACAACAATACTTCGATAGAAACAAGAATAAGTACTACATGGTCAAGGCCGTCTCCGAAAAATAAGGGCCATGTACGATACACAGAAAATTGGCCATTGTGTCATAATATGATAAAATATACTCCCTCCGTCCCATTTTAAATTGTCTGTTTTGACTTTTTGCCATATTTAAGGAAAAGAAACAATAGAGTTGATTTTTCAAAATTGACATTACTTTTAAAGAGGGGTGACGATGAATGAGAATATAAGGTGGAGAAGAGTGACTTATTTTAAGGGTAGTTTATGTATTTTACTCCTAAAAGTTTACGAAAACAACTAATTGGCAACTTATTTTGGGACGGAGAAAAAAAAGGTAAATAGGTAATTTAAAATGGGACAGAGGGAGTATCAATTAGTTTATTTAAAAATAATTAACATTATACTAATAAGAATAATAAAATATCAAATTCATGGTGTAATCAATTGTGTGGCTCCGAATCTCCGATGGACTGGCTACTGCTTTGACTTAATTCCTTTCGTACGTAGATAGGCGACTAGGCCCACTGTCCTTTACTTCTTTGTGTTTTAAATTTTTTATATAAATAAACAAGTGTGTGTGTCTATATATATATATACACACACACACACATAAAAAAATATTGTACTTGGCCCCCCTAAAAATGGGCCCTGTCCCAATGACCAGCCTGCCCCTCTCTCCAGCCGGCTCTGAACATATTAATATAGTATTATGTTTGGTGGCATCATCATCATCATCATTCTATACTTAAAAGCAGAGGAATTCTGTCCCAAGCTTTTCCCGCCCAAAGCACATTCATTCAGCACCGTTGATTTCATTAGATCTACGGTTGTCCTTCATTTTCGTAAACTACCAATTTAATAAATTCTATTTAAGGTATCACAATTAACTCTTCCGTATTGGAATTAATGTGGCATACTAACTCATCATGAAATACGGTAATGGTAAGTAAATAAATATTCTAAATGAATGGAGAGTTCTAAATAAAATGGTAAGTTTTGATACAACATGGTACATGGAGGATCACAGTAATGGTAAGTAGATAAATGTTCTAAATAAATAAAGTGTTTTAAATAAAAATAAAAATAATACTAGAGTCACAAACAAATAATCACAAACTTCACAAATTTGTCTTTTGTAGAATATTAAATTAAAATATCTTTTATTATTTAAGTGTACCTTATTTTTACTATGAACTTAAAAAGACAAGTTTGTGATTTTTATGAACGATTTGTTTGTGATTTTTATGAACTTAAAATGTTAAATGAAGAATTATAATAGTTAGTGTAAAACATAAAAGGTAACCAAAAGCTGTTAGGAATGTAAATACTATTGTACATTTATTATTAATTACCATACTTAATGTCATTATTTATAATGAAAATTTTTGCACGTCTATTTCCTTTTCAAATCCCTTCTAGCATGTATAAATATTTGCTCCACCTGTGGATTTCTATCATCTATTAATTTTTAGTTTCTACCCAAGTTCAAAAATAATTTTAGTACTAAAGTTTTCAAATTCATTTCATATGTAGGATTGTCACAATTATTTAGATAGAAATACTATAATATGTGATTCAACTTTAAAGATTATTTGTAAATCATAAAAATGATCCAAATTTTAAATGACTGCAATTTTCAAATGCAATCAATGAAATTGATATATTGCATTTCATATTTAATGTATTTGTTTGTAATTTCTAACCCAATGTAATTGTTCAAATTGGTAATTTGTAATCTAATTGATTTATAATATTATCAATTTCACGCAAAGTTCTTAGTTTTAAGTTTATATTTTTTAATTACTATATATTTGTATTTGGCCAAGTGATTGATGTAGGGTGTATTTTTACTTCATTACTTACTAAATACTACATAAATATTATTGTGTCCCTATTAAATGTACTGCTAATGTGAGATTTTTTTATAGCGATAACAATGCAATTCACAAAAAATCAAACGTCAAATTATTTTAAATTTTATATTTTCATTTAATAAGCTATTTGTTGTTAATTTTACTCTTTAAATAATAAAGTAATTAAATAATTTCATATTAAAAATATTAGTCGTGCAACGCACGAAAGTGATGCTAGTATATTTCAGTGTTGGACAGAAGAGTGGCACATGAGCTCTCGTCGGGATTTTTCTGTTTTTTCTATCCAAGTATTGTTGTTGATAAAACAAAAAAAAATGACTTCTTATTTTTTTCAATTCCAAACTGATTCTCATATTTAAAAATAAATATAATTTTTTGTTAACATAATTGTTTGGAGTGCAAATTTTAGTTTTTTGTGAATAAACCACGAGCATACACTTATTACCATATCTATTAAATTCTATATTTAAAAGTAGTTCAAGAGTAAATATTCTAAATAGTCCTTTATAACTGAAATTTTTCCATATTTATCAAAAATTATGTTCGCGGAATCGCGGTCCTTATTGATTAGGTTTTTAACGTTTAGTTCTAGAAAAATCACCCCAAATAAGAATAAAACGTAAAGAAAGTGTCAAAATATGAGTTTCAAGTGTTTATTCCCAAGTTAAGAGTTTATATTATGGTAATGTTGCACTGCATATGGACATTTCATAATACTTTTTGGTAATGTATATACGTAGTAATCATTATTGACACTGTAAATGTGTTTAAACTAATATTTCAAGAACAAAAACACGAATCCCCTATTTTGATATATTTTTAATGTTTACTTCTACTTTAGTGTTTTTCCATAGTTCTTGTCTAACGGCACGAAGACGAAAAATAGACGGATGACTGATACCCTGTTAATAAGGGTCGTCAATATAATACTACCTCCGACTCGTAAAACTTTTCAACTTTCACATCTTACTTGTTTCATAAAATATTTCAATTTGGGCTAAAATAACTGTCTTTTACTTTTTTAGATCTAACTGAATATACCTCAACTAGCTTTCACGTCATATCCATTTTGATATTTTTTGAGCCTTACTCGTTTTAATTGTCGTTGTTTTACCTTGGTCAAACTTTTGCAGTTTCCCATACCAAAAGTCAAATCAGAAAATATTTTGCGGGAAAGAGGAAGTATTTGATAAATACGGAGTATAAACTAAATATGGAAAAGTTCTAATTATAAAGGAAAATTTAGAGAATTTACACTTTTTAAAATGCCCTAAAAGTTTTTTTTATTAATTTACATTAAAAGTGTCCTCTTTGTTAGGTTATCATTCATTCAAAGTACATTTAG